CTATATCTATTTACATATATTTTCTTTTAGCTATTTCTATTCATAAAGAAATCTTTTCCATGGAATGAATTAGTTCTACAAAAGAGTTGTGTTTTACATGAAATATATAGATGAGCAAAACAGGGGAAATTTTGAGAATGTTTCTAAAAGATTCACTGCAGACGACCTTTAAATACTACACCACCACTACATTTAAAATGGATCTCGATATCACCGATTCTATATTATATCTGCGGCCTAAACCACAGTGTATCCGAGGGGCCAATAACGCTCTCTTCCTTTCCAGGACCACGCCGCAGAAATAGAGAGCAAAAAGGGGGAACTGCAAAGCCTGCAGGGTCACCTCGCAAAGCTGGGTGCCCTGGGTCGAGCTGAGGACCTTCACCTTCTCCAGGGCAAAGCGGAGGACTGCTTCCAGCTGTTCGAGGAAGCCAGCCAGGTGGTGGAGAGGCGGCAGCTTGCCCTGTCCCAGGTGGCGGAATTCGTACAGAGCCACGCCTCCCTGTCAGGGGGTCTCCTCCGGCTGCGGCAAACGGTGGAGGCAACCAACAGTATGAACAAGAAACAGACCGATCGACTAGAGAAGGACCTGAGTGACGCTATTCGAGAGGTTAAAACATTCGAATCTACTGCCATCGGTCTGGACGGCATTCTTACCAAAGCCCAATACCATCTTAAAAGCGGAAGTTCTGAGCAAAGGACTTCCTGCAGAACTATAGCTGATCATCTCTGTTTAGAATTAGAGAGTATCCAGAACCTTCTGGGAACCAAGCAGAGTGAGGCAGATGCCCTGGCAGTATTGAAAAAGGCATTCCAAGACCAGAAAGAAGAGTTGCTGAAAAGTATTGAGGACATCGAAGAAAGAACCGACAAAGAGCGGCTAAAAGAACCTACTCGCCAAGCGCTTCAGCAGAGGTGACAGGAAGTTGTATTGAAGCCAGTTGTCTCTGATTTTTTTATTTGTTCTGGAATTAACTCTTGTGCAACACATTAATAGTACCCTATTTAGCAACTTTTCTTCTTTTATGTTTTTAGGATACAATTAATGGCTAATTGGACACTTAAGAAGTCCTAAAATTTTGGAGGGGTTTCTTAGGGATTTTCCTAAGGGCTACGCATCAGCCACTCTGCGATCTTATTTACAATAGAGTATATAGATCATATTATCTATTTTTAAGCAATTTTTAACTGATAGGAGAAGGGACTCATCTTCTGTAACAAGAATAATAAGAGGAGAAAGACAGTGATTCAAGCAGACTTGTAGTTTTGGTGGTAAAATAGGGAATTCGTCCCTGGTGGCAGCGAGCCTCTCAGAAAAAAACAGAGTGGGCTCATTAGTTGAGAATCGAGTGACGACAAGAGGTCAGTGAAGAGAAAATTGTGTGAAATCGTTCTCCTGTCCAGAGGAAATGGAAATGATACCTCTGGGGCCTGGTAAGGTGACAGGCCGCCATTTGAGATTTGTGTTCATTCACTTAAAGTGAAACCAATCCTCCTGGCAGAGTGCGACTACTTTTACCTGTTTGCTTAGAGGTGTGGAGAAGGAGGAGAAGAGGGTTTAGCACACTCTGGGGTTTTGCCAGGTGAGTTTTAATAGAGAAGCTAAGGGGTCAAGGGTATTTTCCTGCAGTAAATTTGGAAAGTAATTATTCCTCCTAATACAGTAGCTTTCTTCTCAATCTTATTTTTCCTTCTTGATGAAGCTTTCTCCCCACTCATGTTCTCAGGGTTGACTTTCTCTTCATTTTCTTAGCGGGCAAAGAAATCGCTGAAATGCAGTCATACCACGGTGTCCCTAATTCATAAGTTGTGTTGACGCTGCCACGTCAATTGCAAGTTGCTTCCTTTTAATCAGAATCAAACATTGAGCCAAAGCTTTAGTCAGATGATAGTGGCTCCTGAGGTTACTTTACACGCCTTGTGGGCAATAAGCTATCTGACTAGTTTAAAAATAAACTTTAAAAAAAGAGTAAGATTTGGCAAGGACAAAATAGGCTTCAGAGTAAGGACAGAATGAGGAACAAGGGTGGCAAAGGAGCCAATGGGTCACCCAGGAAGTCAGCAGTAGGACTGGTGCCATTGTGTGGCCTGGAGTCTCAAGCCTGCTTGGGCCTCTCAGGCCTGCTCGGGCCAAACAGGCAGGAGATTCTAAAATTGCTGGAGAAGAAGGTCCATGTTAATACTCACAACACTGAACTCACCACAGTCACACAGAGACTATCAAAAATGTTGCAATGAATTGACTGATTTATTAAATCCCAGCCATAAATCCCAGAGAGGTGGGCAAATCACCTCTCTTCTTGTAAGATGGAAATAATGACAATGCATGTTCCCAGCCACTTTGTTTTGGCAATTAAATGGGATAATGCCTGCATACTCACTTTATAAACTCTACAGCACTAAACCAAAATGCAAGAATAAAAGAGTCAATGGCTGCCTCTATGTGGACACTTTTCACAAATGCTCAATTATTAATATATTAGGGACAAAAAAGAAAATGAAATTTTTCTCATGGTAATCTTTTCAATAAGGTATGTGATTTAGGTTTTTAAAATATGTATGTATTATAGCACTTGGTAAACTATTTTTATTTTAAGTGAAACAGCTATTATTTTACATGAATTAGACCTCATGACACAATAAGATTTTTTTACCAATGTAAGAACTTACCTACTTTGCCTTCAAGGTCAGCCCTCATTTTAAAAGTTTAATGCCATCAAGGCAAAATAGAAAGAGAACACAAACTTAATAAGAGGTTGAAGGTGAATAGTTGAGACTGACTTTAAATGTTTTCTGAGGTACACTCTGAATTATGAAAAGTTGACTTTAAAAGCACCTTTATCAGTTGACATATTTAGTTGCTCCGTTAAAAGTTTTTCTAGCTATCTATATGTGTGCTTTATGGAGAAAAAAATATATTATTTCACTACCTTCAGTAAAGTATCATTTTAATTCACAGGTTGAGAGTCTTTAATCAGTTAGAAGATGAATTGAATTCTCATGAGCACGAGCTGTGTTGGTTGAAAGACAAAGCGAAGCAAATTGCTCAGAAAGATGTAGCCTTTGCACCTGAAGTCGACAGGGAGATAAACCGCTTAGAAGTCACCTGGGATGATACCAAGAAACTAATTCATGAAAAGTAAGTCAACAAATTCTCAGTTTTTGTTTTTAGCTTCTACCTATTTTGTGACATTGGGCCACTGCCTGTTGATTTGCTTTGGTATGATTTGAATAGAATTGAATATCTTTTGCCATCCTTAGTAGTGTGTCTCTTCAGTAACAATAAACATTTAATCCTACAGAACTTGACTGAGGAAGTTACCTTGAGATAACAATTACATGTGAAAGTCAATGCTTAACAGCAGGAGTTGTGAACAATTACTAAGTGCAACCATGAGACTCTTAATCTCCGATTTCCTTTTTTCGTTTTGTTATATTTATTTGTTATTGAGATATGATTTACACACAGTAAAATTCACCCTTTTAAATGTACACCCTTTTGACAAACTCATATAGTAATATAACGGTTATTACTATCAAATTTCACACTAACAGTTGCACCACCTGAAAAAATGTCCTCATGTTTTATTGTAGTCAGTCCCTCCCCTCACTCCTGGTCCCTGTCAGCTATTGGTCAGTTCTCTGTCTCTTTAGTATTGTCTTTTTCAAAATCACATGTGAGCTGATTCTTTCCAGTTTGGACGATTATATAAATAAAGTGTCTATAAACATTCATGTTCAATTTTGTATATGTATCTAAGTTCTTATTTCACTTGAGTAAATACCTAAAAGTGGACTTATGGGTTGTCTGGTGTGTGCTTTTAAGAAATTGCCTGGGTAGTTGCACCGTTTTGCGTTCGCACTAGCCGTGTATCAGAGTTCCATTTGTTCCACATCATTTTTAGCACTTAACGTCGAGTCATTGTTTGCTTGCTTGTTTGACATTATAATAGGTGTGTAGAGATATGTTATTGTGTTTTTAATTTGCATTTCCCTGACATCCAATGATAGTGAGCATATTTTGATATGTTATTTAACATTTATATATCTTGTTCAAATTGACCTGTTCAAATTGCCGACTTTTTTTTTTTTTTTTGGCTTGTTTGTTTTCTTATTGAGGTCTATTTTATATAGATAGAATTCTAATCAAAATCTTGGCAGGATGTTTTGTAGAAATTGACAAACTGATTCTAGAATGTATATGTAAAGCAGAAGACTTAGAACAGTACAATTTTGAAAAAGAATTGAACTCACACTACCTGGTTTTAGTGTGGTGTTGGCTAGAGGGTAATGGAACATATAGAGTGTTCAGAAATAGAGCCACACATACATGCTCAATTGATTTTTGACAAAGGCAGTTTGATGGAGAAAGAATAGTCTTTTCAATAAATAGCCCTGGACATTCTCTAAATTATGCTTTATTAGAGGTTGCACAATATTCAATTATAAGAATGTATCAGAATTTATTTAATTATTGGCCTATTTTTAACATTTGAGTTATTTCTATTTTTTCTCCTATTATAAATATTGGTGAGAAGAATATCACTTTACCTAAATCTTAGTGTACATCTCTTTCTTTGGAAAAATGTTTAGAATGACTTGTTCAAAGGCATTTTACTTTTATGAACAAAAACTATCTTCTTACTTTGACAATTTTCAGGAGATTCATAGTCAATGAAAATTTGTGACATTGAAATAGAAAAAAAAACCTCATATGTATTTAATTATTGAACAGTGTTTTTTATTTGTTTTGTTTTGTTTTGCTTCCCCTCAATACATACTACTAGAAGTAATTAAATCAAGGAACAATTTAAAAAAAACAGAAATTTGGTGACACCTACATAAGTTTGAATTTTCAAGAACGTATATTTATCTTTGCATGTCATTGAGGTCACAGATTTTATTTTAATGGCTGTGGGCATTCTTCATTCATGAGAACATTTTGGACATTAGATGAAGTGAGATTGACCAGCACTCTTTTGAAGTCAGTGGGTAAAAATATGGTTTTCTCTTGATTCCAACATCCATCTATGAATATGTGGTTATAAATCAGGTCCAATTGCAGTCAACGCTTCTCTTCCCTGACACATGAAAATAAATGATGTCTTTTCTTTAATCATTATAGCCAGGGCCAATGCTGTGGACTTATTGACTTAATGAGAGAATATCAGAACTTGAAATCAGCTGTATCTAAAGTCTTAGAAAATGCCAGCAATGTCATTGTAACCAAAACTGCTATAAAAGATGAAGAAGATCTTAAATGGGCTTTATCCAAGGTAATAATTCAAAATGTGTTTATTTTAGTAGAATACTTTAGTATTTAGTATTTTTTAATTCATAAAGCATTCTTTATACAAATCTTGTCAGTACATTTAGATGCAGATAATTCATGCTGACAAGCTTAACTTTTTCTTTTTAAGAATACTAATATCTTAGGATTCTAGCAATTCAAGAAAATTATATTACATAGTTTATTAATATCACTGGTTTCTGCACAACATCATTCACAAATTAAATTTCTTAAAGGCAAATGGTTTTAAACTTGACTTACCATTGATGATTTTATTAATTAAGGAAACATTTTTGTCCCCAGCATGAAACTGCCAGGAATGAAATGTGTAATAAACAGAAGGAATTGGATAATTTTACCAGTAAAGGAAAACAGTTGTTATCTGAACTGAAAAAAATTCACAGTAGTGATTTCATTTTGGTGAAAACAGACATGGAGAGCACTGTGGACAAATGGCTGGATGTAAGTTTATCACCTGGGATTTTGTGAACAGTTTATATATTCACATTTATGAATTACATTTTGGGGCAAACATTATTCAGAGATGCAAATTCTATTTTTAATCTTTAATGCCAACTGCAAATGTGATATTCTGAAGAAAAATAGCATTCACATAAAATTTAGAACTAGTAAACAAATTATTTGCTTTATTTTGTTAAAACTTATTGGCAGATTTTCTAGAATTTTACTTAATTGTTTCAATCATAACAAATTTATAACTCTTTTTCTTCTCAAAACTGTAATTATGGATAAAAATAAAAGAATAATTTATATACATCCTACAGAACATTAAACCAATATAAAATAATTTAAAGTAGTAAGACTACTATTTTGCACCGAAAAACATTGGACTTGTAGTTTATCTCCCTGGGTTTTAGTTCTTGCTCTGTCATTTACTGTGTGACCATAGAACAAGTCACTTGATTTCTTGGAACTTTACATCTCAGTCTATACATATTTTAAATTGTTTTCCAGCTCAAAAATTCAGTGATTCTGTTGACCCCCTATTATCAGTATCTGAGCTCAGAAGTTTAACCTATAGTGGGATCCCTTACATAAGCTAAATTACTTAGTTAGACATTGATATTTATATACAGTAATCAAATAATTTGGGGACTTTGGAAAACCTTATATTCCTCCACTTTTAAAAGGACATTCATATTATGGGAAGAAAGTTAAGTGATATTAGTTTAGCACGCTAAATAAGTTGGTTGCTCTCCTATGTATTTACTTATTCTATAAATGTGTTCGAGTCTATGCCCATTTTTATATCTCAGTATTACAAAAAAAAGGCATATTGTGTTATTTTCAAAAATAAATATAATAATGTCCCAGATGGACCCCTATCCTGTAGAATTCATACTTAGAGTGAGTTATATTATAGTAGATCTAATAGACCTGTTGTTGTTAGTTTCCCAATTTACAAACAAAAGCCAAATGTCTCAGAAATTCAACCAACTCCAATGACAGAAACAATTTATGTAATAGTTACCATTTACTTGACTCAGATACACTAATTAGCTTACAATAATTTCTGTAAAACTTTGCTTTCAGTCAGAATATAATTTCAGATTAAGGAAGCATTGACATTTGAAGTACGTTGATGAGGCAAGGAGCATCTCAAAGCCTCAGACTATTAACCAGATGGTTTCCATTTTCTGTCTCAGGTATCAGAGAAAATCGAGGAGAACATGGATAGGCTAAGGGTGAGCCTGTCCCTTTGGGCTGATGTACTTTCAAGTAAAGATGAGATCGAAGGATGGTCAAACAATTCTGTTCCACAGCTGGCCGAAAGCATCAGCAACCTGAATGACAGCCTGAGGGCGGGAGAATTCCTCAAAGAATTTGAGGTAAATTGACCTCATCTTCATCTGTGAGCTTATAGTATATTATCGACCAGGATATGAAAAAATTATGTCCTTTTTCTAAAGTTTGTTCTTCATTTCGAGACATATGTGAGTGTAACAAACTCTGAAATATCTTTTGCTATTTACTTGAAAGATGAAATAGGCCTTGGATAAGAGGGTTTTTTTCTGCATTTTTATTACTTGTTAGTTTGGACGTTTTACTTAAAGTATTAGTGGAACAGTAAAAGCCCGTAAAATCCATAATATTTGCCATTCAACTGAGAATGTAGCATCTTCCTACTGAAAAACCAAACTGAAAGTGTTTATCATTCATTAATATTTAGTATTTATTTTTTCGTCATTCAAACAAAATGTTTACTAGTATTTACCGTGTGCTGAACACTTATGCCAGGTGTTTGGTTCTTCCACTTCCTTTTCAGAAATGAAAGAAAATGGAAATTGCAGTTTCATAGACTTCCACAGAAAGTGGCCTTTTGAAGTTCTTGTCACCAATTTATTTTAAACTCCTTTTATTCCCATTTCTTGCATTTATTTATTCATTCACTCATCTAATTCTTAAGCACACCTAAAATATATCAGGCAGCATTTTAGACATTAAGAATAGACTAGTAAAACAGACAATGTCCCTACCCTTAAAGTGTTTACTTATTTATATTATAATATATATTATATGTAAAATGTCAAGTGATGATTTGGCTGTGATGAAAAATGAAGCAAAGTAAGGGGAAATAGAGTGACGAGAAATAGATGAGCTGTTTCACAAAGCATATGACTGACTGTGCTCTTGGTGGAGGCAGAAGCTGTTCATCGTCATATGCTTGGGAGCCCAGCACTGTGCCTGGCACACAGGTGGAGCAGGACAGATATGTGAATGGATGACTATAGTCTGAAATAATATAGTCGAATCATCTCTATTGCCTGTTATCCAACTGTCTTTGACCCAAAGAACATTCTAGAGGTTGTTTCTATTTCTAAGGGCAAACAGAAGTGGAGGAAGTTATCTGGACTGAAAGTACGATCGGGGAGGGATACCACTGTTTCTTTAGTTATTATGTTTGGTGTTGTTAACATTACAGATCAGACAGTGGTGTACGCTGGAATCATGCTTGAGTCTGCTCACAAAAGCCAGTAATTACATTTTCAGGAATGTCGTGAGCCAGAGTTAAACACAACCATTACTAAAATTGAATTGTAAATAAATTATATTTAAACATCAATAAAAATAAATTTAAAATAATGCATATCACTTTCTAATTATTATTTTCATATTACTGTTATCTAGGCTCTTGAGTTATTGACATTTATTACACCCATATGATGGAAATACTGTTGAATGGCGTGCTACTGTGTGGCTCTTCTGACTCCGTGTGTAGTAACATCATGTTGTAACTCAAAATGGTGGTGAATGCTAACAAATCAGGGCCTTTTTTTAAGAGAGCTAGTTGTTAAACTAGCATATAGTACACTCCTGCTCCTGACCTCTGGTACCAGGGAGCTAGTGGGTATTAGCCCCACGTTCAACATGTCCAGATTCAGTGACTCACAGAGATGGGTTTTGAGGCTCCTGAATGTCTGCGTGGCCCACGAGCTAATAAAATCAATGACCAGGATTCAGCATCGTGCCTTATAGTGTAACTGTCGCTGAGTAGCAAATTAAGTGTAGGTGTTTAAGTGTGAAGCCTTAATTGCCCAGTCTCCTTCTGGAAAAGGCCAGTGGGCCTGACAGTTCATCACATCTTACTGAGCAAGTAAATTACTTTCCAGTTTGAAGGTATCAGGAGGTTCGTTAGTGTCCACAAAGCACCGAGATAGGATATTTAAGTTGAGAGGGTTACATTGTTAAATGTTCCTTTGTGGCCCCAGATAACTAATGAAGGTTATAAGTGTCTAATTTGTTTAGTAATGATTCTTTGATTATTCTTTCTTCTCTTTGTGTTAGTGTTGGTGAAAAAAAGGCAAAATATTAGATGCGAATTTCTTAATTAACTTGATTTCTGCTTTAACATCTTTTTAATTTTTATTTGAAAGGTTTCTTATGTATTACAT